TTCAGAGCATAATACCATATATAATGGTAAATCTAGTGTATTCCATCCTATAACTATATGTTAGATTGTAAGCATCACTGGCAACTCGTCAACTTAATTCGGACATATAAAGAGGCAATCAGTCAGATTCAACCAAATTAGTGGCCTTAAGTGAAGTATAAGCAAATTTTACAGCTTAATCAAGTATGAAAATGCAGTACCTGCTTTATTAATCGATAGTAAAGCCGCCGTCTGTGCAGACAGGGTGAAATAACAACTTCAAGCATTTAGAAGAGGCATGACATAATCAACCAAATAATGGAATGCCTCAAGAAGTTGACAAACTCAGGCTTGTCATAATAGATTAAAACTCAACACAATTTATTTAAATCGCATAACAAGGTACCAAGAAAGTCTACACCCAAAACAGTGGATACAACACCAAGGCGATCTTCCCTCTGTTTTGGGTGAGGTCAATTTACGAATGACTTCCAGTCGAGTTTTCGAAACAAATTAACTGTACAATACTAAAAATGAGGGCTGTTTGCGTTACAGGCAGCAGAAGCTTAAAAGGGCCTTTAAGATTCCACACATACCGTCTACATTTTTAATTGGGCCTAGGCATGCTTATGTCGCGAGATATTAAAATCACGATAAATTAATCGTTTCTAGGGTCTATAAATATTCCATGTAAACCGAATACAGGCAGTCTTAGGAAAAAAGAATATTTTATGTGTCAGTAATCCTTTGCCCGCAAATTTCTTAATTTTATCATCAAATGAGGATAAAAATACATCTCATGGCATTTGTATATGGGTAAACTCAGAGTGGCGATATATTGTGTTTTCCTATAAAGGAGTAAAAGTATAAAGAATTTTCCCTTTTGAATAAAAATAGAACATATATGGTCTCTGAAAATTCACTCAACTATATCATATGCTGTAAGGCCATTTTTATTAGCAGTAGATTAATAAAATACCCACTCTCATTTTGTTTTTGGTGGTGTTTAATCGTGCCATAGCTTGCAGAGTTCGCTAAAACTGAATGGTAGTCTTGAAATTAATTTAGCTTGCGTCAAGAGGTAGATATATAACCTCCTTGAATCGAATGTTATGCTCTCAAATTATTGGATTCTTCAAGATCTATCGAATGTACCATCATTGATAAATATGGGAAGGAAAACTACTTATTTTAGAATCGCTTTTATATTTTAAAGACTATTTAAATTCAACCTGCACGTCGTACTAAAGCCAAACGGCTGCAGTGTAACAGAAATCAGCCGTCATCTTCTGATGAGATCAACATACGAATATCTTCTTTATACACTTTTATATAAAATTAAAGTGGGAGTTGGTACATTCCGAGACGTTTCATCGGCATTGTAGACGGTATAGTCAGTAAGCTTTGTCATTCTTAGCACCTCTATAACTTGTAAAAGAGACAGCTGAATTCAATCTTTTGACCAATTGTCTGCTGAAATTTGTGGTATCTCTCCTTCTGACCTATATCCTCATATTACTCCGTCACTATAACAATTTCTTACTTGCTTATTTAAACCTAGTCCAGATGTGCCCTTTTGAGTGGATTTAGTGAGACTTATTCACACTTCCTGCAGGTTTCATCATCGCGCACACTGAGGCTGTCCTTTTAGTCCACAATTCTCATGATCCAAGTCCAATAAAAGTGTCAATTTTGACCCTTAGAATCCGTCTCCTATCTCTCTGGTTAAGTAATTTCATTCGATCACTGGATTCTCAAGTGTGATGAAAAAGTAACTTGACGCTGCAGATTACTTTATCACTGCTCGGCATGTGCATCGGGTGAATCTCGTAGTCAAGCTTTTACTTCAAGGATCATATCTATGATTAAACCTAAGTACAGTTATTATTCGTTTATAAGTAGGCTTTCGAGACTACAAGTGTATCATATATACGAGATGTATTCACATTAATTAACTTAAGGTGATGAAGGACTCATAGTAGAATTTTCCCATAATGAAAGAAGTGGATCTTACGTTTCCATTTAATGTTTACATAGAATTTCTTACTAACGGGTATTCCCATCCAGAGTGAAATGCAGTTCCGACCTCGCATAGGTCACCTCAGCACCCCAAACGGGACTCGAACTGTGGTAGTGCAAGGTTATCCACTACGCCATACTACCACAAGTGACCCTAAATCGCGAGACGAATATGAATTTCATTTACCAATATCAAATTCTGTGGTAAGATATTCGAAGAAGCTAAGTTTTATCTCTAATAGCAATCGAGTACATTATTCATTTTTCGTTAGTGAGTAGGCTTTTGAGATCTTAAACGAAATAAGGTGAATAATTTTCATATAAATAATGTATTGGCTATCTCGAAAAGCCTATTTATGAAACGAAAACTAAATAACGTAATCGATTGCTATGGCAAATACAACATTACTTCATCGACAATCCATCACAGAATTCGATATTGGAAAATGATTGTCCTCTCTTAAAATGCACATCTTCCATGTGACCCAAGGGCATTCGTGACAGCGTGTCCTAGTGGATAACGTGTCTAGATAATATGTTGCACTATTACGGTTCGAGGATGAATACACGCCGTGTATTCACCACATTTATCGTGTTTCTATCCATAATTCCAAGTCTATGACTTTTCTATGCCATAGTCTCTCTTGTGCTAACCCCTAAAGTGTAGTAGTTGTTCTACTTGATTTGAATAGGCTCACTGTACAAGTCTCCTCTTTGTTTCCAACTATTCCTCTGTGACTTCCTTCTTGAGATTTCTCATCCTCATTTTCAAAATTTTTCCTTTATCTTGTCATCCTCATTTTGCTGATCTTGCTATTCCCTGATCTCCTCTGGGTTTTCTTAAGCAATATGCAACGTTTTCGCTAATTTTGCCTTCTTTAAGTCTCCTGTTCGTTAGATTTATTTCAGTTAGGATGTCGATGGCCCTTGGAACCTTTGGCTTTTTTATATTTTCCTCATATTTAGTCAATCTTTTTGTTGATTTTCAGTCGATTTCACTTCCCGTCCATGCGGTGCGTTGCTCTAGATCGGATCTTTCTGTATCCATGTTTCTGCAGTCTATAGTGTTTCTTTATTCTTATGCCGATTTTTATTTCAATATACTTCTGCTCAGAGTTGCCGCGTTTTACGCAATAAACTCTCGAGCAATCCACTTTGTAAAATTTCTCTTGCTGCATCGCCAGGCTGGTGAATAATGTTGTCTTGTCCTTTGTTATTACTTTGGCATTCCATTTTTTACTCGGTTCACGGAAGGGTAGGTATATCAACTTTTGGACGTCCTTCCGATTACTGATTTTATCTTTATAATATCCAAATTGTCATCTGCTCTTTATTATCCCTTTCTTTTTATGAATTCTCTAGGATACTTGTTACTAAGGGAAATCCTAGTTACTTTGTCCAATTTCTCGTCCCAGAACTCTATGTCCGTTCGCCTTAAGTGTCTGATGATCAAACTCCTTAGTATTTCAATCTTCAATCTGTCGTTATGATGAGATTGGAAATTAAAAATTATTCCCGCATGTGATTCCTTCATGAATAATCTTCTCTTGAGTATCCCGTTGGAGCGAATGACCCCAACATCCAACAAAGATAGTCACTCATTCTCCTCCACCTTCATTGTGAATGTAATTGTGTCATCGAGACGGATCATGAAGTTGAGGAATTCATCTAAATTTTCCTTACCATGCAACAAAAATACAGAGCAGTCATCCAGATATGGAATAAGTAGATTGAAATTGAAATAATCCCGAGAACCCAGGCGCATCAAAAGCTAATGAAGATGATAGGATAAAATAAAAAAATTAAAAATTAATTATATTGACTTCTTTCATTGTATAGAAGTTGTTTGGCCTTGTTTTAGTAATTTGGTTGTACTGTCTAAGATATCTAGAGATGCACTTTGGACTGATGGTATCCATGATGATTATTAGGCCTTCCCTCTCACCTGACGCTCAAGAATGATACTAATAAATTTGCTGGGCACTTAGTTGAGTCGCTTTACTGGTAAAATTGCCTCCGAACTCTCGATCTCTGGAAAACTTATGCCAGCGTTTTGAGACCTTTGGCTTAGATACATAGTAAGTAACTTCAGAAAATATAAGATATATTTTATTGTGACTAAGGCCATCATAGGTAAATATACATAATGTCTAATAGTTAATAGACCTGATACCCCTGAGTGTTGAGTTTCCTACAATGAAATGAGTATAAAGTATACATTTGTCATTGGATTTCAATTATGGTATTGGTATGATCCGTATTTAGTAGCTGATCGAAATTTGGGATCTAAGTTCTGGCAGATGTTGACAGCAGATCTGAGTGGTGACCTAATTTGTTGACAGTCTCCAATGGAGAGAGGTTTCAAAGAAAGAAATACGGATATCTCAAATGTGACTAAGTGAAGTTTGAAAAATGATCAGCAGAGTGAAACTCTGAACGAAATGACGAATGCCAATAGGTCAGTCTCGCATTAAACCAAATGTTTGCCTCTTCTAAAACACTATATAAGGAGGGAACTAAAAGAAGTTAATATCTCCACCAAGATTGTAAGCAGTTGTGAGGCCGGTGAGCCTAATCCTTAATACCGAAACACAAGGTAACCTAGTTTTATCAGCATTTCTTTCTCTCGAGTATGTCGTTGATTTGAAGCAATTTTTGGACACAAAGGTTCATCCGAAATAAATAAGTAGCCAGTGTACCATCCACTTACCTACCTTGTGTCAAACTTTCAAGTACGCAAACACACAAACACACGCATATAGGAATATACCCTATGTGGAGATTTTATTTCCTCAATCAAGTTGCTGTCCTGAAAGTGACAATATTATACACATTCCCAGCACTTTGTTTTCTACAAACACCTTTCATGTGTCCATCATAATCCCACCTCCATTGCATTGTTGATATAGCTCATTTTCTATTCTCCACTACAAAGGGGGATTGCAGCAGAAATTTCCCGATCCCTCCATCTAGTCTCAGTAACATTTGACAAAAAAACGAAGTCAACCATTAAAGCAAACAGATATGATGCAAAAAAGCATACCCTTTATGATCGAACGAGTGCCAGAGTTAGTCAGAGGCAAGGTGCCTGAAGCCGCCAGACCTCCTTGCTCTACGGCTGCACATCCAGGCAGGCTCGGACGGCCACCACTGCCATTAAGATCGGTACCAACACCGGCAAAACTCTCGCCACCACCGCCACCCTCACCGCTTTTTTGTCCAGCAGAAATGCGACGCGACCTGCGAAGTATGTGTTTATTCTTTGATTCCTGCAAAGATTCCCAAGGAATGATCCAGTCCATTGCCTTGAGCTCAGCCAGGAATTTTGCACGTCTAAACAAATCATAGAGCAAAATCATAAACAGGCGAATTTAGATAAGCAAGATAGTAGGATTTTAGAAATGCATTCCAGGGCCCCTTTTGGAATAAGTTAGTATCTGTACTTATAAATGCCCATTTGCCCATCAATTCAAATTGAATTAAGCAATAATAAAAAGAAAAGAAATAATTGTATGCCTTTTAATTTTTGGTTCAAGTGTAGACTCAACTGCCCATTTTGAGCAAATCCTTACTCGCTTATAATCATGAAGCTGTGCATTATTGAATCCGAACATCAAACCCCATACAAGGCCAAAACAAATCCTTAAGGTAGAAAGTACATTTGGGCTTGGCAAAGAAAGGCGAACAAACCCTAAACAGACGGGAAATGGAATAAGTCTGAGGGTAAAACAAGTCTGATACACGAATGGTAGGTATGCCTTAAAATTTAATTCTCCCATTCAATTAATTCAAGGAAGATTCCCTCTTGTAGGCTATCTAAGTAAGATGCGTGTCACATCCACTGAACCCAGAGGGCTGTCCATAGCTATTCTGTCTAATTAGCGTTTCAGTTGACTGAAGGAATACTTGGATAGATTGAATAAACAACGCTAAAATGTCCTTTTCAAATAAGATTTTGAGAGCAATTAGAGAGCAGAGAAGGGGATATCAAACAGGGATCTTAGGCTGATCACATTCTAAATTGTAATAATTGCCCTTTGAATTTTATACAAAAGAGGTTAGTATTTTACAATTAAATGCATAAACCGAAGAAAATAATCAAAAATACAGATAACTGGAATGCTTATTGTTTTAGGCACAAGTGTACACTAAGAATGTATCTTCTTGAGGGTATTCCAATTACAGTTGAATAAAATGGGAGTGTAGAAATGTTACTCAGACTTTTATCCGAGGAAATAATTTAAACGTAAATTCATCTGATCTCTTGTACATCATAGATCATTTAATATAAGTGTAATGATGTTTAAGATTTTGATCATTTTGCTAAAGTATTTAATTAGCCGAATAACTTAACTTAATTACATTGAAAGGCAAAACTATGTTAATTTGTTGTGATTTACATATCTGAAAGGCGAAAAGTTGGGTTTCGAAGAATCTCTTGTTACATAATTGTTAAGCTTACTTCCGTTTCGAGTGAAGAGACTCGACGGTCGATTCCACCAGAAGACGACGGTGGATTACTCTTGACCAGTTGTCGATTGACTTTACTGGAACATTCTTGTTGACGCTGTTTCGAGGTAATCTCCTTCTATTCCTGTGAAAACACGCTAAGCTTTCGTCCGTCATATGACGAACATCATTGGAGCGGGGTATCATCCTTACAACGAATTCAGGCTGACTCAAGAAGACTAACCGGCTCATCCCTAAATGCTGTATATGTACTCTATAACTAAGCTCTTTGATGAAGTATCCGGAATCAAAGAAGATTGCCTCAGAGACAGCGCCAACAAGAATATTCCAGTAAAGCCAATCGACAGTCGGTCAAGAGAAATCTGCCATCGTCTTCTGATAGGATTGTCCTCCGAATCTCTTCACCAAACACTTCCACTCGAAATGGAGGTAAGCTCAACAGTTGTAGAAGAAGTTACACCAGCAAAGTGGCAATTTTGAGACGAATGAAGAAATAAATAACGAACGCTAGCGAATGGAGAAATTTAACTATTATAAACAGACAGCTCACGTTCCGATTGCTACAATTTTGACATGATACAGCCTATACATCACCAAAATATTGATATCTATTTATTTTGTTTGGAATTATGTGATAGATGATGAGAAGAATTCAATAATATTCAAGGTGCCTTGACAGATCTCCTTAATGAATGAGAAGGAGACTTAAAATAAAGTAGACTATGGATATAGGCACTTGCTTCATATTGTAAGGTGGAACACCCATGGCAATCCTAGTTAGATAAGCCATAGTAAGCATAAGAAAAAAATATTGTATTTTGGTCCATAGATGTCAAGGGTAAAATGCTTTCTATTTAGCCACCTAGTTATAGTAAAACAAGTCACGTTTTGCTGCTGATCTCAAGTTGATAAAGTATTTGCTAGTCTCACCTGTTGTGCAAAGGATTCGCACAAATAATTTTATTTACTATGTATGTTTGACCAAGTTTTCGCAACTTGGTCAGAGCGTCAGAGAAACCTTGTGGAACGTATATAATCCCGTGTCCTCTGCATAGTATTCGTGATTTCCGGTATTGGACCAAATGCTTTGCCGGCATCATAGTCGATATCAGTAGTGAGAGGCGCCA